ATTTCTTACCATTTCGCATCGCTTTCTTGCTGAAAATCCGATGAATACGATTGGTCTTGGTCAACAATGTCCCCACAATAATACAAAAACTGATACTAAACGAAAACAAAACGATCCTACACAACTCCTCACTCTTCTCAAACAACAAAGCCAACGACGTCGCATAACCCAACAAAATCCCACACAACATGACAAAACAAAGCCTCTTGCTCGAAGACCGTACGATATGCGTATCGCCGTAATAAAAGAATACCATGGCAACGAAAATYACTGTTATTGAGCCAAGTGTTGTTGCTATGGCAATGGCGATTCCGGGAGTATCTGTAATGAGGACTGAGGTTGGGACGATTGGGTTGCACGATGAGTGGTTGGYGTTTGGCCAATAGCGTGGAGGACACTTTCTGCAGCTAGTGTTCACGGGATTGTTGGAGATGAGGTTGCGTGTACACGGCTCGCATTTCCAGCAGCAAGTCTAAAAAGAATAAGAAGATAAGTGAATTACAATCAACTTTAAAACAAAACGAACTGAAATAAAGAAATATTAACGGCATAAAGAAAAAAGGGCGGTTGACAATTGGATTCTCAATAGCCCAGTTCCGAGATATGCTTCGCTTGTCACGCACATTCTTACCGCCTGTCACGAATGACTGAGCATTTAGCACGTAGCCTCATACTGAAACCTTTGTGCCTACACTGCCCGTCATGTGCTATCATCCAGAGAGTGTTCTATTGCTTGGTATCAATCATAGCTGAATGAATCTCATCAATCTCATTACCAGTGTACAATGGCAGACAACACTGCCCGTCATTTGCTATCAACCATAGAGTATTCTATTGCTTGGTATCAATCAGCTGAATGAATCTCCTGAATCTCATTACCAGCCTACAATGACAGGGTAACACTGCCCGTCAAATACGGTTTTTGTGAGAATTTGGACCCGGAAATACGTCACAACTTAAAAGCTCTATACTAGAAGATTGTTAGAGAGGGGTCTAAGTAATCCAAACCTGATGATGCTCTTCGCTTCGCATCCAGTGCCCTGGCGGACATTTTCTTCCACAGAYTGACACAGGAATCCCACTAACATTGTACGTCGTGTTCCATATTTCCCAAAGCATTYGTTCGTCTATCGTCAGCACAGAAAAATTCCCAATAACAGCATCATCGCCATCTTCGTAAGATATATTTGACGTCCATGAGCCAAACTTCATCCACGTATCGGTCAGCGGATTTACGATGTTGATGTCGTACGTTCCATCGCTGTCRCCATGTTTGGTAAACGACACTGGGTCACGTGTTAGRCCTTTGAATCGGACTGACTGAATACTTTGAAGAAAGGCGTCTCCATTCCTGGAATTTTTAACAAAATCTGTTAGTAAATTCCTCCAACCTAATGCAATGCAACGCTAACTCGTTCTAGATTTTCCCTCMATCTCGGAACAGCTAATAGTAACTYGTAAAKGTGAACAAATAGTCCATTTTTGCTTCTATCAGTTTAAGCGTTTTCATTTAAAAACAACCACATACAGTTTAAAACAAACAGCTCGAGGTCACGTGCCTAATGGCCGCCATCTTGGAATTCAAAAATACGTGACTGTTGAAAAAGATCGTGACTAAATAAGAGTACTTTTTTGAATTGCTCCGCCGGCTTTCACAATATATTTCGGATGCACGCTTGCGTTTTTTTATCCGTCGACCATAAGGCATTTTCAATCGCTTAGTTTCAAACTGAATACCTTTTAAAATGAATTTTCAAGATCGTCCATAYCAAAATGATCAAAAAATAAGGTTTTTTGAAAATATCCTAAATCGTTTTTTGTTGCCATTCTAAAGCGATATATAGGTGTCATTTTTTATGCAAACAAGACGGCAAAACATATGGAAATGTAAAAAAGATTTCAAAAGAAAATAAATCTTTTTGGAAAATTACGAGGAACGCAAGTGGATCATGACATGGGAAAAAACTCGTCCGATATCGGTGTTGAAAAGGTTTCAAATCATTGGCTAACGTTTTTAGTTATCACGTATTTCTGTTTATCATATAATTATCCATAAAATACCTATATTTCTCCTTTTCGAAAAACTGATATTTTCACATGTGAAAATAACATGTTATTTTCACATGTGAAAATATCGTTACCATGTGTATTTAAGCTATTAGTTTATAAATAAGAACTTTTTATAATAATAAAAAGCTTATTGTTAAGCTGATTTTATGGATAACTATATAATAAACAGAATATTACATGGGCGCTTGGAGATACGAAATTTATCTTCTCGTTTTGAAAATCTCTCACTCGTTCGCTTTTCGTATCTCTGCGCGCCCATGTAATATCCTCTATTTAACCAATTCTACTTATCCACTTCTGAAAGAGCAGTTGTATTTACCGAAGGAGGAACTGTATAGACTTACTTTCGAWTTGAACAAACAAGTATCAAAACATGAATAGCAGAAGTGGCAGGATTCGGATATAAACAAAAAGCTTCCTCTTCATATGCACAAGTACATGAATGCTTAAAACGTTWAAAAAAAAWYYT